TATGAACAAATGATATTTTCATTAATATACAGTATTTAAAATTACACTTTTTACTTTAATCTATCAAAAACAAATTGTCATAATATAGATTAGAAGTTAATTATAGTATGTAATTAGATCAGTGAACTATAAACACTTGTTTTAACGCTGATAATATATAATTAGGCCCAGTTCTAGACTAGTATAACTGGTTCTAGTTTAGTAACATCTTCAGATTGCAAGAAATACTACAGCAAATCGTATTTCAGACATTAATAATAATATTAAGAATAATAAACTCATAGAAACAAAAATCTATATTCTGTGAACAAATTATAAATTTAATTAAAACTCATGATTAAATTAATTGAAGGTGTAATAATATTTGGTTCTTAATTTTTGATAAAACCAAATTTTTAAAAAACAGTTTTCAAAATAGGATCTCGACACTTTAAGTTCTAAATATTAAAATAAATAAATAAAGGTTTGATGTTAGTACAGATCAAAACGAAAATGCCGAAAGTAAATATTAATTCAAAAATTAATTGCATTTTTCTCAAATTAACTTATAAATTACATCCTGCTAACTGACTGAAGGTACAGATCTTTTTCACTGCGTATTTCAAAAGAACTATGATTAATTTATAAATTGTCATCAAATTATTCAAAGATTAATTGTCTGAAACGTAGTAAAGCTATTGATTACTTTATTTTGAAAATTTCAATCACGTGATAAATTCTTATTTGATGATGGCTTTTATTTTAAATAACAATGGCCCTCTTTAAATTTATAATATATTTAACTTTCAAATGGTAGGTAAATGCAATTATACGCTTCTACATCACAGTATTTTCGATAAACGCATATAAATTGAAATCACTAGATTTTATTGGCTAGTATAAAATTTCCTATTTGCGTGTGTGCTGTTCCTAAGGAAAATGGAAATAATAGTTGATTCCCGGATATGATAAAGTGTGGTATAGCGGGTATAAGTTCTCGAAATCTTCGAAAAATAGATAAGCAGGTTACAAAAATTGAATCGCAAAATGTTGCTTTTGAACGATATAATTAAACTTACTAGGAGGGTCTGTTTTAATAAACTAGTAAGTCATAAAATAAATTGGAGCATTATTTTAAAGAGTCTATACTTACGTGCTAATATTTCTAAAAAAAAAACAAGTTAAGTTGATTTATTGGAAAACATGACTTTACAAATAATTAATAAAGTTATACTCACAGCCTAATACGTAGTTTGATCACGTAAAATCATAAACATTAAAGTTTTTTTTTTTAAAAAAGGTGCACATATAATAAACTATACTCACAAATTACTGCATTTTAATAAAATCGGTTAGAGGGACAAATAATGAAACAAAAAACAAATAAATGATATGATATTTATACATACCGGCTAAATTGTTTGGTTAATAGAGATAGAAAAAATCGTTATAAACATGTGACATAAAAATGCAAACATATAATGAATCGATACATACGTCCTAATAGTTAACAAATTATAAAATCGATTAGAATAATTATAAAAAGACGAATACGTGACGTGATATTTATACTTACCAGCTAATGGTTTAATAAAATAATTTTAAAAATAATTTTAGAAATATGCTTAACAAATGCTAAAATGATAAATATATGCTTACATTTCTTCTTACTCTCTAATTGTTAATAAATGAACATGCGATAAATCAATTAGAATAAAGTCTATCAAAAATTTTTTAAAGTAAACACTAAAAACAAAACTTGCCTCCTAATAGTTTAACAGAATGAAGGACATATGAGTAAAACCATCCGCAAACGATAATTAAAAAAAATAACAAACATTTACTCTTGTCCATCTTTGGCATTTCGCGTTCTTGGAAAGCTAAAAAAAAAGTACAATAATTATAATTTAATATATGTGAATATCGATTTAATAAAATTGAATGAATTTTTACATTTATCAATCGGACTTGCGACTGTCAAGGAAAATAGAATCGTGGAAGCCAACAATAAGTTTAAAAGAAGTTTGAAGTTCATTTTGGACACGTTAGAATTTAATTCTATTAAAAAAATAGAGTCAATAAATTTTTTATCTTTAATAAATTTGATTTGACTCAAAAAGCTTTACACGAAAAGAATGTTATCTTATAATTGTCTTTGAAAAATCTCGAAATAATAAGGATTTATTTCGCTTACGATTGTGTGTTTTATTTATAAAACTTTGAATGAGCATGTGGTTTCTAAAAATTTGGTGTTACGAAAGTCAATTTTGACCTGCCATACCTAGCATTATAACGAAACACCTTTTCATGCAGATAACTCCGTAAAATAAATGTTATGTAAATATACAACAAGGCAAATCTTGTCTCGCACAAAAATCAGCCATGCTCATATATTAAAGTAAAAATCTGTTTTTCAGTGAAAATAATGTATATATGGGTGAATTTGCTTCGTACAAGGATTAGTTGTGTTCCAAAAATCTTAAGTAAATTAACTTCTAAAACCAAATTTTATATGAATGTGCAAAAAAAAAAAGGAATTCTGTCTCATGCAATGAATCAATCATGCTACATGTTAAAGCAACTCCTGTTTTCCAATGAAGATAATGTGCAAGCGTTTGTCTCGAACGGAAAATTAGCCAAACTTCAAATAAAAAACCTGTTGTTTCAATGACGAATAATTCCAAATATCTAAAATTGTGTGTTATATGAAAGTACAAAATCGCAAAAATTGAATTGTATAAAATTTAGCCGTTACTAAATCAATGATTATTAGAATCTCCAAAATTCGATGAAATTAGTTTAAATCGGTTTTTACCACTACTATATTGTGGTAAATAACGAGATCATTGACAGTTTAATTCAAAAAGGTTTATACATTAGTATCATGCATATCAATAATAATCTGCCATTGTATCGACAATAGTCAATGAGCTAATTCCTCGATTTATATGTGATATTCATTGTACAGTAGTTTGTTACTTTATTCGACTAATTTGGTCGTCTCGAAACAATGACGCAAGATGCAATAACATTATATGACACTGGTCTAATTTAGCAACAAACTACCATTTTCATTATAAATTACAGTACTGCACTGTATTCAGATTACAGTATTAGGTTTAATCCATTTTATAAAATAATTTTCAAAAAAATTATTGTTTGGTTTAAGATAACCGATAACCAGTACTGTGCACCGTTAGATACTTAATTCCATTTTAATCTAGATTTTTTTTCTTATATTATTTTATATTGTTACGGGGAAATGACGATCGACAATATGGCTTAAAATTTGCGAAACGACGAAAAGGATAATCAATCCTCAACCTCGTTATTTTCGTTATTTTCGTTATTATTGTTATTATTATTTTATTTATTTTATTTTCTTTCGATCGATTATTTCTTTTATTTCTTTAGCTGTAAGAAAACATAACAGAGCAAAAGATAATAAAAAAGTTCATTAAAAAAAATAATCATACTTATTGTACTGTTTCTAACCAAAAAAATCACCGAATTATCTAAACTCACAAAATATATATCTTCTTCTTGCCTTTCACATCTGTTAAAACATGAAACCCCTGTCATAAGTGCGCAGAGACTGCTTTTGTCCCCTGATCTGTGACAACATAAATAGTTTTAATGCTTCTAGTTGCATAATTCTGAATAAAGGTAATTATTGTAATAGAACTTCTTTCGGTACAATGGATTTCTCTATGGAACAACGCCCACTTTCAGTTTGATTTGTATAAAATTTTGAAGCTTTACACGCTATCAGATAATATGATTATGATTATTTTATAATGTCATAGAAAGTAAAAATAACAATGATAGAATTACTGTTTATCACTAAAATTACGATAAAAAAGATTTGCTGCTAACTGATTTGCTAGACTAATCAAGTAAAACAAAAATAACAATGAAATTTTCCTGGTGATATTTCTCATGATTGATACAATGGAAAGTTCTTTTTACGGTTTGCATGACACGTCTGATTAAAGCCTAAGAGGTTAAATTATCAACTAAGATTCAAAATTGCAACAGTCATTAGAAATCGCAACAATAATGTAAATACCAAAATATTGTGTCTTTGACACTATCTTCATTGAAAACCGATTTCGTCTTGATATGATGTACTGCTGATTTTTTTGCATGCGACGATTCGCTTTTTGTACGTTCATTTAACATTTGATTTTAGAAGTTTTCTCATTGAAAGGTGTTTTGTTTAAAAAATATTCTTCACGATTAATCTTGTACTAAAACTTTCATTTTTTAGATTGTCTCATTGAAAAAATTAGATTTTGTCGAAATAAAGTACAATACATTCATATAACATTTAATTTTGGAAATTATCTGCACGATGAGGTGTTATGCTTTAAATGTAGGCACGGCTGAACTGTGCGAAAAAAAATCCACATTGTAACGCCATCCAAAGCTTTATAAATACAGCACAGAATCTTGAGCAAAATCAAATCAAAAAATTATTTCGGAATTCTCCAAAGATAACCAAGAAGATAGCATTATTCCTTGTGTAATTTCCTTTGTTATTCATAGTTAAATCCAATTAAAGGATTTTAAAAATTAATTCTTGATTTTTTTTAGAACCAAATTCAACAAACGACTTTAAAATGAACTTCAAACTCTTGATTCTAGTGTTGGCTTTCATGATTCTGTTTTCCTTGACGGTCGCAAGTCCCGTTTACCAAAGTAAATATCAATTGATTTCATTAAAAATTATACTGTATTTTGCATTTTAATAATGTATAATTTTTTTTTTATTAGATTATGTTAATGATCTGAAAGCACGTGGTGGTAAGTATTAATCGATTTCGTTAAAAATTTATACAGTATTTCGCATTATAATAAGACATAATATTTAATTGTAAATTTAGATGATCCCGAAGCGGATATTGCAAAAACACATTCACGTCCTGAAGGTCCATCCACAATTACAAATTGAAAATAACACTTTTCTAATATTTCTATTTAGCATTTTAATTTCATATAATTTCTTGTTATTAGATTTAATGGATAAGAAACCACCACCCGATCGTAAGTATTAATTGATTTCGTTAAAAATTTATATTGTGCTTTTATAATAAGACATAAACGTTTGTATTTAATTGTAAATTTAGACGAGTCCGGTGGTGATCTTATTAAAAAAGATTCGGGAGCAGGTCCTATTATAAAATTTCCAATGCGTGGTTCTTATATAGTTACAAATTGACAATGACACGTTTCTAATAATTTTTGCTTTGCGTTTTAATTATATATAATTCCTTGTTATTAGATTTAATGAATAAGAGACCACCTGGTCGTAAGTATTAATTGATTTCGTTAAAAATTCATATATTGTATTATAATAAAGCATAATATTTAATTGTAAATTTAGATGATCCCGAAGCGGATATTACAAAAAAACATTCAGATTATGAAGGTCCATCCATAATTACAAATTGACAATAACACTCTTCTAATATTTCTATTTAGCATTTTAATTTAGTATAATTTCTTGTTACTAGGTTTTCATGAGCGGGCAGATAGCATACGACGTGATGGTAAGTATTATTGATTTCGTCAAAAATTTATATTGTGCTTTTATAATAAGACATAAATGGTCGTATTAAATTGTAAATTTAGATGAGTCCGGAGATGATCTTATTAAAAAAGATTCGGGAGCAGGTCCTATTATAAAATTTCCAATGCGTGGTTCTTATATAGTTACAATTTGACAATGACATGTTTCTAATAATTTTTGCTTTGCGTTTTAATTATATATAATTCCTTGTTATTAGATTTAATGAATAAGAGACCACCTGGTCGTAAGTATTAATTGATTTCGTTAAAAATTCATATATTGTATTATAATAAAACATAATATTTAATTGTAAATTTAGATGATCCCGAAGCGGATATTACAAAAAAACACTCGGATTATGAAGGTCCATCCATATTACAAATTGACAATAACACTTTTCTAATATTTATATTTAGCATTTTAATTTAATATAATTTCTTGTTACTAGGTTTTCATGAGCGGGCAGATAACATACGACGTGATGGTAAGTATTAATTGATTTAGTTTAGAATTTATATTTCGCATTTACAATAAAACATAAATATTTGTATTTAATTGTAAATTTAGGTGATTCCGAAGAGGCTATTATAGAAGACCTAAGGCCTCCAAGAGAAAGACACTAAGTTGATAATTGACAATGAAACTTTTTAATAATAAGACAGTGTTTGTCGATTTATTATGGATAACGTAAATTATTATTTTGTATCAGATTATTATATTTCATAAATAAATTACGTCATAGTTTTTATTATTTTTAAAAATTTGATAATGATATACTGTATTTAATTTGAAAGTATTTAACTGCAAAGTGCGTCAAATTATGGATTCAACAGTTTTTCTAATCCAACAGTTTTAACGTCAACAATTTTCCTTTGATTCAACATACAGTATATTGAGTTATGAATAATGGTGAATCACAAAAAATCGATTAATTGAATTTTTAACAATTTTTAATAGCTTTTACTATATTCTGTATATGAAAATAATAAAGGACAGAGCATTATGAAACAATGTACATATGGAAACCAAGACTTTTAAAGGTTCATTTAGCAAATTATCGTAGCATTACATTTAAACATTTGTTTAAATTATATCTGAATTTACAAAAAATTTTTTGAACCTTTTTCTTGTAAAATAACGATCAAAATTAATTAAGGTATAAATAATCACAAAACGTTTATTAAAATCTCTTTAAAATTATCATAATTTAAAATAGACTATCTACAGTAAATAACATTTTCTGGATCCGGAAATTGTTTGAATAATAAATGCAAATAATTGTAAAATTATATGGCATCATGATAATTAATTGATTAAAAATATTAAAGGCATATAAAATTGTATAATTATTATTAACACAATATCAAATCTTAAAATATTAAGATATTTTTAACTTAATTCATTTCTTAATAATCACACTTCGACTTAAAAAATAGTGTTTTGATATAATATAAAGTAATAACTAGTTGCTTTACAAGTTACTAATTATTTTATTTAAATTGAAATTAATAAAGAAACAACCAAAGATTGGCATTAAAAGGCATTAATATAATAATTTTTAATTAATTATACAATATTAACCTTTAAATATAGCAATTTTGATTTTTTAATTTAATACTGTAAGAGAATATTTGCATTATTACATGAACTGATGTAATGAAATCCCAAATATATTTAAAAAAAATTTTTTTTAATTTAAACTTATAATATTAGTGTTAATTTATTTATTCTTTGCATTTTGTCTCTTTTTATAATTCTAGTTAATCAGTTCATCAACTCAAATTTATAAAAGATATTATAAAATTATATTTATCCATAAGATCATTAAAAGATTTTTATTATAAATTCTAATTCTAATAATAAAATCAAAATATAAAATGTATTAAATACTGTGCTTGAGATATACAATAAATATAAAAATATTTAACAACATAAAATATACAAGGAACATACAATAAATTATATATTTTTTCATACATTCATTTTGATTTTGATTTTATTTTTTATAAATAAATATTACTTTTTATTTGATTTTTATAATATAAAATATATTTATATTATTAAAAAATAATATATCTGATAGAAACTCTGTAACAAATATTAAGTTTTTAATACAATTTATTTTGTCATATATTAGTAAGCAGTTATAAATACTTATTAAAAAATTAAAAATCAAATAGCTTAAATAATTAGAAATTAATTTAAAAAATTATAATTTTATCAAATAAAGATAATAATAACTATAAATTGTTATAAAAATAATAAAAATAAAAATGCAATATTGTAATATATTGTGTAACAATAGTGTTAATGATAATAAATAAAATAATAATTGATAATAATATATTATAAATATAAATGTATTAACAAATCATATAATAGGATAACTTATATAACTTTGAGTTAAAAAGTTTTAAATTTGAGTTAAAAATTTTATTTTAAAATATTATTTTGTTTTTATATATTTATACAATAAATAATTTTATATTTAAAGTATATTTTGAATTTATACACTACAATAAAATAAGTATCTTTAAGAAAAAGATATACAATTTTATATTTTTGTATTATAAAAAATTATTTGTAATCTTGAAATATATATTTAAAAAAAGATAATTAAAAAGAAATTATGAACATATAAATGTTAATAAAATTGTAACTATCTTAAAGTTAAAGTTTTACTTTATTTAATATTGAAACTCAAGTATTAAAATTATTATTATATGAAAAATATACTATTTTAATAATAGACTTATTAATAATAACAATAACATAATTAGTAAATAAAGATTATATTTTGTATATAAATAATTTTTTTTAAAGGTGAACTGGAAATTTTCTGGTATGATCTTACAATTTATAATATATATATATTGTTAAAAGTTGAATCAGAAAAAATCATATCTAGCATTTTTGTCACCTTCAAAAATAATTACAATATATTGATTAAAAAATTTTTAAATAAGTTTTAAAATTAGATTTTGGTTTATATTAGTAATTAAGATAAAATTTTATTATTATTTAATTTAATTTCAATAAATAAAAATATATTAACTATATTATAATAACTTTCAAAGATCTATAGATTTATGGTACAGTAGTTAATACTTCACAAATCAGATTACAAGATATCAATTTAACTTCAAGTAGAGACAGTTAAATAGAATCAATATGGTATCTAATACCATAATCTGTTTAAGCACTGATTCTTATAAAAAATTAATTTATATACTGATTTAGCAGGTATTAAGATTGTGATTTTCAGAAAAAGATATTGTGATATAACTATTATCTAGTTGAAATTATAATAATTACCAAAAGTTACAAAATATTAGAAGTGTCTGGTTTAGTATAAAATAGTTTGGTTATTATTAATTATAATACCTAGTGTTTTTTCTGCAAAAAATTATATAAAAGTTTCATTCCAATTCAATAAGAAGCCTATTATGTATTACTTATCTTTAAAAAATATCTAATATTTCCAAGTAGTCTCAAGACTACTGTAAATTATAAATTTATGGTTGTAAGTATTTTGAACATTTCTGAATTATAATACAAAAAATAGAAATTAAATAGTTAAAAACTAGTTACAAGTAATATAGAGCAATAAAATCAACCTTAAGTAGGATTTTATTTTTCAAAATATTAATTTTTACTTTCCTTTTTCTTAATATATTCCTAAAATAAAATCTAAATAAAAAAGTAATATTAATACATTAGTTTTGATCCCTTTGCTATAATCCAGGTTATAGAATAAACTAATAATTTAAAACTGGCATTTGAAGAAATCGCAATGTAGTTTAATATACAAATTGTATAGTGTCATATGCCAATTCAACCTCAAAGATCAGCATAAGATGAAGAACTGATAGCAGGGAGACACTTTATTTAGGACATAATCCTAATGTGATGTGCTATAGTTCATAGAGAACATACT